CATTCCGCGAAAACGGCGGTCCGTGGTCAAATACAACTTGTACCTGTTATCTCTGTGGTGCCGTTTCTCTGATAATTAATAAAATAAACAAAATTTAAGATAATTTTGTAACGGTCACGTGTATTTCCGGTCGGTTGCTTATTGACACACAACAATATCATTAATTTGTATAAATATTACAAAGCTTTTTTAAAATGATATTATTTTAGTGAGTTAGATGATTCGCTAATCATCTGAATAACTTTAATTCAACACTTCCTTTAATTCAACCAAAAGCTCTGATCCCTTGGGGTGTTGAATTAAAGAGGTTCGACTGTAGAAGTGATTTTCTGTGCCTTCTTCATCTATTACATTGGCCAAATAAATTTAGCTCTTCATCTTTTTGAGGTGATTTCTCTCCCCAAGCCAAGAGAATGCCCTTCTTCATTCAAGGATGAACTTGAAGGCTTTTCCTCAGTTATACGAAAATTGTGATTTCTTCTTCTTTCTTATCTCCACTCAATCACACTAAGGTATCAAACTTGTAAAACTTGAGATTTTTGATGGTGTCTGCCGGGGAAGAGTAGACCTCATCAATGGATGAGTCAATACAGTCAATAATATGTCTTGGAGTTGCAGTTTGAGAATTGCACTTAGTACATAGTGGGAAAACCTTGCAACCATTCTGTCATTGTCCGTAGATGACCAGACTTAAGTCTGGAAATCAAAGACTGTTGTTCTCTTGGGAGGACAGAACCGGTGCTTGAAAATATCAAAAAACCAATAAGTTTCTTTATTATAAAAACAGTGTGAGGTTCCGAGCTCTTCAACAGGCAGAGTTACAATTAAGAGTGAGCACGAGGGTGAGATATACCCAATGATGGCTATTTAATCTTGATTTGAAGTATGACAGAATTGTTCTGGGATGTCTCCTGTTTATACTGTTCTTATTCTATATACAGTTACGAGCATCATTCTTCGTCGCCTCTGTCACGGTTTGCTTTTTTTTTTGGAATGGCGCCCTCCTATTGGTGGGCTACGATCACGCCACCTTTGCCCCCCCCCCCACATCATGCCCCCCCATTTTTGTAACTATTGTGTTGGAGCGGGTCGCTCCTTAAATAAATGCATATATTAGTTAATAACCAAATGGAATCCTCTCTTTCTTTTTCCCAGTAAGAGACGCCTACGGAAGCCAACAGTACATAGACAGATAAAGCACATAGGCTATAGTTATTAACTAACATATGCATTTATTTAAGGCGCCAAATTATAATTGTAACAAATAGTATTTGATATGAGGGATTCGAGGATTTATGACTTGGACGGTATATTACAGTAGTGGTAGGTAGGGTTTTCTAGATTGAATGTATGGTCTGTATTCGTGGTATGTTAGTGATCTTGGGTCTTTGGTTTTTATATTGTATACACACACACACACATACAAAAGCCTTTATTAGGGACTTGCCCCATACAGATTCTCCCAATTGGGTAAGGTAATAATCATCTTGTGTTATTTACATAGGTAGTGAAATAGAAATTGAACCGGTTTTACTCTTCATCTCAAAGTCATTCACTTGTTGACTGGTCCTTACATAATGATGATCTAAAAAAATTATAGTAAGCTATTGCCTTAGATTTGTTTGCTGATATTTTGAAAGCAATACGTAGGGTGAAGTGTTGATACATTTAATTTGTTGATATAGGGCCTTACTCTCTATATCAAGGGCTGTACAATTAAGCAGGTAATGGCCTCAAACATCAGAATGTGGGGTTTTTTTTGAAGACTGTAAATAGCATTCTCAATTGAGCTATACATCGTTTGACTGGTTTTATATTGTATGCGTGTTCTTTTATTCTGGTTTCTATTCTATTTGCCAACATAAATAGATTGGCAATCGAGACCTACAACCTACAAATGCAAAAATAGCACTAGAACTAAAGAAATATGGCATAAGGTTTATCTTCCGCAGCCCTAGAACAATAAGGAATATTCTCAGAAATCCCATCACTAAACCATCTATAAATCAGAATCCCCAACAGAAGAAAAATGCCATATATTCTATATTGTGTCTAGATTGTCAATCTATTTATGTTGGTGAAACCTTAACGATGTTAACCAGTGCCCAAACAAGTAGACTAGTTGCTCAGGCCCTATATAATTTTTACAAGGCAGTAGGTGTAAAGAGGGAGAAAAGAGAACTTGGAAGCTATTGTTCTTACACCTCAGAATGATGACGAAACATCGAGGGTCCATCGTGTTGGTCGACGATGAGATTGCGGAGCTGGTAATATGGATGGCTGTGCTGGAGTAAACCTCCTTTTTGTGTCTGGATGCTATATTTATGGCGAACTAAATAACTTAGTCCCTATTTCTGCTCCGCGCTTATGGAATTGAAGACTTGGGGCGATGGTGTCGACCTTTCATATTAAATCTTACTTTTCCTTATTACTAATAATTGTACGAATAAATGAACTCAGTATATTTGGTTAAACTTATACGAATAAAAGATTACACGAGGAGCTTCTTTTCCGTTTAATTGCTAGCTTTCGAACCTTGCGGTTCTTCAACAGGCGTGGCTAGTACAACAATACTAACAAGATAAAAGCGCGCTTGAGCCATTATATATAACATCCAAATTTACATACGAAGGGATATTTCAAATATAATTAAAATAGAAATAAGAATTATGACTATAAAATATAAAACTATGCTAATAAAACTTAAAAATTATTAAAAATTAGATAAAATTAGGGAAATACATTTATAAACGCTAAAAGTTGGAAATGAACAACAAGCAGGGGTCCCTCCGACCAGGTTACACTATGAGGGTTATCTAGGGCGACACGGAACATAATTATTGCATTAAAACATGGTAGGCTTCAGGGAGATCTATTTTTCTGTTAATACTGTTGGTTTGAGTGGATTCTAGATATAACCTAATCTGCTTATTATGTATATGTTGATAGAGAATCTTAGGGTGGTCCAGATTAAACTTATGGCCTGTGTGTAATATATGTTGATATATAAGGGATTTAGGATCTCTATTATTTATATTGCGTTTATGTTCTGTCATCCTGATGTACGCGGTTCTCCCAGTTTCGCCCACATAGGAGGCTGGGCAATCATGGCAAGAAATCGCGTACACCGCGCCAGTGGAATGGATGGGGTTGTTAGGTTTATCTGCTTTGGTGATGGGATTCCTGAGCAGGGTTGCAATACTGGGAGGACTATTGTAAAATACCCGAATGCCGTAAGGGCGAAGAATTCTGGAGATGGCAATGGAGTCCGGGGAAAAAGGCAGGAGACAAGTGGCTCTATATACCGTGGTTGACTTTGGAGCAACGGGATCAAACGAATGTTTATCTATGAAATATCTGGGATATCCTGCAGAGGTCAAAAGGGAAATGATTCTGGATTTTTCTATGGTTTTGAATATGGGTAAAGAGCAATGTGTGTATATTCTTTTAGTTAAGGTCCTAACTGTATTGATTTTATAGGCTATGGGACTATTGGAGGAGAAATGGGTATACAGAGGTGGAATGGTCTTTTTGTGGAATACTGTTGTGTGTAACTTGTGCGGGGTGCGGTATTGGTGGTTGAAAGTGAAAGCGCTGATGGAGAGACACAAGGTGGTCAGCTGTGTTATCTGGGCTATTACTTGCTTGTCAATATTGGCTGTTCTAAGAAAGGACTGAAGTTTGTCTGTAATGAGAGTGTGTGGAAGTGAGAGGTACAGGGAGGTGACATCGAATGAGAACATGGTATGTTGTGCCGGAGGTTGTATTTGAGCTATTTCTTGTATGAAACTGGGTGGGTGAGTTATATTGTATTTGTTGGGGTTGTTTTTCATGATGGGGGACAATAGATTAGATAGAAATTTAGCTAATAAATTAGCTAATAAAAGTTCTCCCAGTGTACGCGGTTTCTTGCCATGATTGCCCAGCCTCCTATGTGGGCGAAACTGGGAGAACCGCGTACATCAGGATGACAGAACATAAACGCAATATAAATAATAGAGATCCTAAATCCCTTATATATCAACATATATTACACACAGGCCATAAGTTTAATCTGGACCACCCTAAGATTCTCTATCAACATATACATAATAAGCAGATTAGGTTATATCTAGAATCCATCATCTCCACTCAAACCAACAGTATTAACAGAAAAATAGATCTCCCTGAAGCCTACCATGTTTTAATGCAATAATTATGTTCCGTGTCGCCCTAGATAACCCTCATAGTGTAACCTGGTCGGAGGGACCCCTGCTTGTTGTTCATTTCCAATTTTAGCGTATATAAATGTATTTCCCTAATTTTATCTAATTTTTAATAATTTTTAAGTTTTATTAGCATAGTTTTATATTTTATAGTCATAATTCTTATTTCTATTTTAATTATATTTGAAATATCCCTTCGTATGTAAATTTGGATGTTATATATAATGGCTCAAGCGCGCTTTTATCTTGTTAGTATTGTTGTACTAGCCACGCCTGTTGAAGAACCGCAAGGTTTGAAAGCTAGCAATTAAACGGAAAAGAAGCTCCTCGTGTAATCTTTTATTCGTATAAGTTTAACTAATAATTGTATATAGTTGCGGAACTACTGGTTTCCTGTGCTGCTCCTTTCCTGTTATTGCACCTTGTACGGAGAATCTGCATAAGACTAACGTCTTAATAAAGGCTTTGTGTGTGTGTGTTGGTGAAACCAGAGAAGTACTGCTACTAGGTGAGTAAAGTAGCAAGAGGGTAACGAGTGGTCTGACACAATAAGAAACTGCTACTTGCCTTTATCTCAAAGGTTCCAAGAATGACATTAAGAAGTGATTCCTCATCTGGCTACACAGTGGGATGTGATTAAATATCAACAGCTCAACAAGGTAATAAGACCAAATCCAAATAAATAAATAGTGTGTGATGTTTCAGCGTTGTTACCATCTTCAGACAAAAGTACTGAATGAGAAATTTATCTTTATTTACGGAGCTGCTAACCAAAAAAAAAAAAAAAAAGGTAATAGCCTACAGCTACACCCGGTGTTCCCAGATGGTCACCCTCTCAAGTACTGACCGGGCCCGACATTACTTCGGTGATCGGACGAGAAAATGAGAAATTTTATCACAGCATGTTTAAAATAGTTACTGTTATCAAATGTGTGTAAACAAGATAGCAGATAAGAAGAAGAAGATAGTTTTCTGAGTAACACAATATTAATCACAGCATGTTTTAAATAGTTACTGTTATCAAGGGGGAAACAATGTGGTAACAACGCTGAAACGTCACACACTATTTATTTATTTGGATTTGGTCTTATTACCCTGTGTTTATAATCTAAACTCCAAATTGCACCTATTCTATGTTAAAATGAATTTAACCACACTACAATTTTATAAAAATCTACATGTGCCAGTTAAGTCATCTTTGTTGTTTTAAGTTGATATTTTATTCAATAGGAAATTACATCAATTGAATTAGGATAGATGAGTGAATATCATTTGATCTGTGTATGAAAAAATGGACAATTAAATATAAAACAAATTAGTTGAGAATACTCTCTACACCATAATAAACTTGTTGGGTTTTGTTATCCTTTAATGGCAAGAGGGCCATGATAAAAAGCCAACTTAGAAATTCCCAATAATATACAGTTAAACCTGTCTATAGCGTCCCCTCTTGGAACTCAACAAATAGGGTGCTTTAGACAGGTCACTTTTAATGTAAAATGTTTACATTTTAATGTTTAAAATCAGGCGCTATAGAGAGGAAGGCGCTGTTTAGAGGGGGCGCTATAGACAGGTTTAACTGTATATATATATTTTATATTTTTTATTTATCCCTAGTACATGTGGTACAGGCCAAGATAATCATTGTGGGTAGAAGTGGTGACTGCTTTTACTGTAAGTGCACTACATGTCTACACATGTGAAAAGCAGTTTGACTTTGCACTTACAAATGTGCCAGTGCCCCGTTTGGTTACTTGTACTCGCTGGTGGGGTTAGACTTTTGCAAGAATCGAGTGCCATTGGAGCATTTTTTTTTTTTAATCAGAAAAAAAGTGCCCAATGCGGGATTTGATCCCGGGTCGTAGCGGTCGAAAACCAACAGTTTAGACCATCCTTCCACCGACCCCAGTTTCCTATAAATACTATCGGATATGAACTAATTTTGGCTCTCATTGATATTTAATAAATAATGCTGTTCCAATCCTGTAGGTTCATTATTGTAATACAGTGGCGGTGCTTATCTCCATTGTTAAACCAATTCCTGAAGTCCACTCCTCTCCAATTATTGTAATACAGTGAAACCCTGCTAATACCCGGGATATGGCGAACCTTCAGTTATATCAGACCTAAGGTAATTCCCAATTAACAAATAGAACACAAAGCCTGAAAATTACCGATCAAATCAAGATACTCTGAGTCTTTTTCTCCGATAACATAAGAACATTCTTTTCTCAAAAAAAAAAAAAAAAAATTCCATTCCATTGAAAATATCATTGTTATAGCAAACTTTAAAAATGTTTAAAAAACAAACTACCCCTATAACGAAGCAAATTTTAAGTCCCAGAATAATAAATTATATTTTAAATACTAGGTTTACTATCCTGTGGCCTGAGTTATAAAAAAAGAAGTCGGTGGACTAGTGAGTAACACCCTCGATTCCCAACAGCCATGAACTGGGATTGAATCCTGTGTTAACATTTTGTTTAATATGTGAATAACCTTCACATATTATTCATTGTTTCAATTATCATAAACTAGGTTGCTCTTGTTGAGTGGTACCTAATAAGGTGATTTTGGAACCAAACCGCCTGAGTTATTATTCTTGTTTAAAAATGATACTTTATTATATTTATTGACACACAAGTTACACAAACAAAACAAAGGCAATGTTTATTTGTCAAATGCCATGATGATGATCTATATGATGTCATCACACTAGGCTTATAACAAATTTAAAATTATGAAAAAGACATCTCCTTATCGTGCAACTGAAAGTTGCTGATGGCTTGCGCCTATCCCAGTACATTATCACATTTGTACTATTTTTTCACATTGTGTCGCGGTCTCTCGCAATTCTGGCCTTAACTACCCGTTTCATGATTTTTCAGGACGCCTGAATGACCAGTTTTTTGGTCGTTGAGGTACAGCTTGCACCAGGCTGATGAGGGCCAACAGCCTGAAATGCGTCCATGGTTAGCTTTTCTTGATTAATCAAGAATGGGTATTTGGCCAATTCAGGAATAATTAAGAATCAACGAGAATAGTTGATATTTATTCCGATAGATGGCGCAAGCCATCAGCAACTTTCAGTTGCACGATAAGGAGATGTATTTTTCATAATTTAGCACCTTATCCCAGTACATTATCACATTTGTACTATTTTTTCAAATTTAAAATTCTAAGTACTATATTAAAAAAAAAAAAAAGAATGTTGAGCTTGCTTCAGCTCACAGATAGTGATTTCAAAAAACAATAAATTTAGCAGCATTGTTTTTTTACATTTATGTTCTATGGAATTCTATTCCTTGTGATGAGGAGATATTGGGAGTCCAACAAGGGGAAGAGTTTGGATCATCCTACCTCGTTTAGGATGCTTTCCAGTGTTGGGAGGGTTGAAACTGGGGGAATGTCATACTCCTTTTCATCCAGCTGTCAATCACACATTCTTCAGGTTAGTCCAGGCTGGACAGAATATAGATAAGGGGAACAGTAGTAATGATAAGGCACAATTTTGATCATAGATTATGAATACAAGGTAATAAGACCAAATCCAAATAAATAGTGTGTGACGTTTTGGTAACAACGCTGTTACCAAAACGTCACACACTATTTATTTATTTGGATTTGGTCTTATTGCCTTGTGGAACAGTAGTAGTATATATTACGATGCACTAGCGCGGCGCCATCTGTTATCAAATTACAAAACTATTTTAGGGTTCACCACTGATGAGCCAGGCCCTCCCTTCAATTTTTCCATTGCAGTAAGGGCAGTAGATATTGTTTTATTTTAAAAAGAATATTACGCATCTAAAATAGTTTTGTAATTTGATAGTAGTATATATATTGTCATAACCAAAAATGTACATAGCATGTAATTGTAAATAATACATTGGCAGCTTGTCGAATGTTATGTACCTAAGCCCTGGTAGCTTTCAGCTCGGCATAATATCTTTATGTATTAGTAAAAGGTTAATCCAACAGAAATCTCTGATTTCTGAGGGTCAAGTTAAAAAGGTTAGACTGTATTTTTCTTTCATTGCATAACTTTGTAATCCTTTTCACTACTATATTGAAATGTGAAAACATGTTGGAAAAAATGAAGGAAAATGTTTTAAAATAATAAATCAATGATCTTAAAATACTTTTAGGCTGACAACACTGTAATATAAAAAGAAGAAAGAAGGAGTGATATTTTTGTTTATATAATTAGTACAACAACAACAACAAAAGCCTTTATCTAGGGTCACTGACCCTATACAGGATTCACCAGAGGTATGCATAAGAACAAAGCAGTGAGACAAAGGAAATAACGATATAGACAGAAGAAAAAGGAAAAAAAATAAGAAAGAGAAAGAGGGAAGCAAGAAAAACAACACAAAAAGAGTAGCAGTAAGAAAGTGAGGAGTGAGTGTCACTTGGCCTTCTTCTCAGATATGGACTTGTGGAAACCATAAAACGCCGTAGCAATATACTTATTTTGGGTCATATTGTCAATTATTGATGGAAGTGAAGCACAGAGTTGCCCAGTTTTGAGCATAAGGGTTCTTCTTTCTTCTTTCAGAGCAGAACAATCAAAAATATAGTGAGCGATTTCATTTTTTAGTTTTGAATTACAGAAGGTACAAATCGGGTCCTCACCGCAGAGCATCTTGGTGTGGTTTTCTCTAAAAAAAACTTGAAAGTATTCTAACTTGTGCGAGTAGTCTTACAACCAGGAAAGGAAAATCCCCTAAAAGGTATCCCTCCGTCATGAAAGATATGTGAATGTCTTTGTAGTGAGAGTATAGCTTAGATTTTTCCATTCTTGTAAGGTCGTTTTGTATAGAATGGTCTGCCGCTGTTTTTAAGAGCCCTGTAATCGCGCTCCTCAGCGTTTCAGGATCATCACAGGAAACAAGTGCAGGGGATCCATTATTGTTAAGCAGATTAGTGAGCTTTTTAATGAAGCCGATGGGTGTGCCCGAAGCATTAGACAGTTCCCGTGTTCTATTAAAACATATACGCAGCAATCTGTCACTGCTCATATTCAACACCCGCAGCCAATACTTCAGGGTTAATTTTAAAGCTGTTACACTCAAAGAGATACAACCGGTTTCTAATCTGATTATGTAGCCTGGAGTGTATCTGGGCAGATTCAGGAACCTACGGATAAATATGTCCTGTATACTGTCCAGTAAGTCTTTATGCTCTGTTGCCCACAATGGAGCGGCATACATCAGGACAGCTCTCACTATTGTATCAAAGAGTTTGATTGATAAATTTATTGACTTTGCTTTTGATTTTATTAATATTGGGTGTGTGGCGTTAATTGCTGTATAAGTGCTTTTCCTTTAAAGTAATTTGCCGGGTGAGTAGTTGTTATTGTTGGTGTCAGAGAGAGGGAATCCCAAGTGTGTATATCTTGAAGTTATTGTTATGGGTTTATCATTCCAGAACCATCTATCCTTATTTGAGGGTTTACCTCCATTACGGAACACCATAATCTTTGACTTGAACTCATTTAGTGTCATTAAGTTCTCATCGAGATATTCTTTCAGTATTTTGATTTATATAATTAGTAAGTGTAATTGTTAATTATTTTTTTTCCCTCTCTTTCTTTGAAAATAATAAATTAAAAATACTTTCTTTTAAAAGGTAAAATCGCCTAATTCTTTAAAACCATTTCAGCTGTAAGTAAACTTATTATTTATTGTTTCATTGTCTAAACCATAAAATATTCCCAACAAAACAGATCTTTTATTTTAAAAAGACATTTTGGTTCTATTATTGCTATGATTATTTAGTCCTTGATATCAAAATTATTTTATAATGACAGAAGATTTGCAATCTTGCGTCTGCTGTGCATGAAATATCAATATTCAGTAAAAAATTTATATTTCTATAAAATATAAGTCCTCCCCTCTCCCTCCTTCCCTTTTTATTTTTCAAGTGCCAATTGTGGTTTGAATTGTAAGTTGACAAAGAGAATCCAAAACTTTAAATAAATAATATATAACGTATTTAATTTTTAGAAATTTTATATTTCTGTGTTCTTTTAAAATTAAATCCCCTATACAATGCAAGTATATTTAAAACTACAAATTTCTTATGCATTTTAAATTATAATAAAGTTTGAAATATTATTGTAAATGTTGAACATTGCGATAACGATAAATTTATAGTCTTATGAATAGTTTTAAAAAACATATTTAAAATAACAAGGATCTTAATCTTTGTGTTTCGGTGTATATTTAATTTGTGTCTGCTAAAAAATAAATAAATAAATGAAAACTTACTTCTTCAGGTTCTAAACTTGCTAAATCTGTCAATGGTGCGCACACTTTGACATCTTTTTCTTCCATCATTATTTACTTATAACAAATATTTATAATCTTGGAGATTTTTAATCATAAAGATAGTCCTTAAATTAAATAATGAAAAATAATAGGGAGTAAGGTAAACACAGGGTTGTGAATCAAAAATGAAGTTCATCATTATTCTGTGTGTTTTATTTTCTCTAAAAAAAATACGACCTGAAATATAATTTTTTTTTTTTTTTTTGCTTTGATAACACTAATAGACAAAATGTGAGAAAAAAATATTCTCCTTAAATAAACAAAACATTTTCTGGGTTATCTTTTTTTGCGTTAATTAAAGTGATTTCATTAATTTATTTAGATTAGCTCATTTTTTCAAGTTATGAAAATAAATATTTCATATAAAGTTTTTGCAATTATAGTACAAATATACACTTTAGTAAATATATATTTCATTTTAATAACATTTTGCACTTTAACAACATTTTCATTTCTAAGCAAAATTTGTCGATATTTTTATATATATATATATATCCATAGAAGCAAAGGGCGCCTCTCCCGTCAAAATGAACGTCAAAAACTGACGCCATCTATTGACCGTCGCCGCAACTAGCGGCCTCGGGTCGGTGACAAAGCAAAACACCTCTTTGGTATATTGTGAAGATTCCATTAGATCCCGTGTGGATCTCATGGAATAAAGTCCGCCCTAGACTGACGAGGGCCATTAGCCCGAAACCATGGTCTCTAGGTGGACGCTTCTCAATTTGCCAAAGCTGGTGTTGTGGCTTTGTCACCGACCCGAGGCCGCTAGTTGCGGCGACGGTCAATAGATGGCGTCAGTTTTTGACGTTCATTTTGACGGGAGAGGCGCCCTTTGCTTCTATGGATTAATTTCCTCCCGGCAAATTTTCCATATATATATATATATTTCAAAAGGAATAGATTTTTTTTTTTTTTTTCAAATCTTGTTTTTTTTTTTATGAAACATATTCATTCCAAATAAATCTAGTTTCTTTTAGTACTTCCCTTTTCCGGATACCTCTCTACAAAGGACAGTTTTCATTTGCAAAATTACCATTTTTACTATTTAGCAACTCTCCTTGAAGGACACTTTGGCTCTGCAATTAGGTATCTTTTACAGAGAGGTTCTACTGTACTGTGATTTTTTGTTAAGCTCATTTTTTATTTTAAATTATAGAATTATTTTTTATTATAAAAGTTTTATAAAGACATTTATTGTTATAATATCAACATTTTTGTTGTAGAATAATATATTTGAATATTCTGCCTATCACCAACAAGAGTATAGATGGTGGGTAAAAATTGCAATGGGTACATTCCCATTTCTTAGAAGCAGCATTTCAAATAAAAGTAAATGAAAATACTTTTTAGGCAAAATATATACATTAGGGCTACTAACCAAAATAACTCTCGGGCATCCAAAGTGGATTCCCAAGTAAAATTTCCAGAGAGATGAAATTATGATTAGAAAAAAGTATTTAATAATGAATTTTGAAATATCTACCATTATAAATTATAAAAATTCAATTATACACATATTATGCACATGTTTAAAAAAAAAGAAATTTGGTGATGATAAATATACAAAGTAGAGATATAGATGTAGAATATACAAAATCCCCTGGACAGATGGTAACTGATGGTTTTACACTTCACCAAATGGAATTCACTCAAGAAGAAGAAGAATTTTTATCCAAACTTTGTTGGGCATTTACATACATGCAAAGTTTTTACTAACTATGCAAAACAACTATATATAGGCTTAATTTTTAAATACAAGAAAAACACGATGATGATAACTGTACCTAAAAGATTAATATTTATTTAGGTTATCACTTCCTTCCTTCATTTCGAAGGACTTAATTTAATGTCCCCTAGATGTCTAAAATCTTGGGCTTCTGTATGGTTCTTCCATATCTGGTTCTGATACTTGGAGATTTGTCACTCGCAGGAATCTCTTCTGGTCTTGTCTCACTTTCTTTCCTGGCAGAAGAAATCAAGGAATGATTGGATGGAAGAATCCTGTTCCTGATCTCTAGTAGGCAAATCTTGTTGAAGTGAAGGATGTCTGTCCAGTCCTGAAGCTCCTTGAGCTGCAGGTGGTTGTGCCATTTTCGGCTCTATAGCATCAGTGTCCGCAGCAACACTCTATTCTCTTTAGATTTTGTTTCAGGCCATCCTGGACCTGCTTCCCACATCTGATTAATTTGCCTATTCCATTGGCATCCATCAATTGATTTAACAACAAATCTGTGACTTCCTAGTTGCTCTATAACCAATGCTCTTGTACATTTTCTTCCCTTTCAGAAGTCTTGTGTCCATATATGGTCTCCAACTAAAAATGGACTCAATCTATTTCCTCCATAACGCTGTTGTGCTTACCTTATTTTGATCTCTCCCTGAGGTTTCGAAAGATTAAATATTGATATTAACATTCTTCCATACATTAGTTCGCATGGAGCACATCCTGTTATTGTATGGGGAGTACATCTGTACACACGCCTAAGAATTATATAATGGCTTCCTGAATTGAAAGGCCTTCCTTCAAGCTTGTTTTAAATGCTTTCTTAGTGGCATCCCCAAAGTTCTCAGCTGCACCATTCATGGCTGGATGCCCTGGAGGTGTGAAAACATTCCTAATTGCGCAACTCTTGGTGAATGATGAAAATTCCGCTGCACCAACTTTTCTGGTATACCGTAGCGAGCAAAAATATCTCTGAACTTCAGTTTTGTTCCCTCTGAAGTTTTTTTTTTTTTTTTTAATTAAAATTACCTCCGGTCATTTTCTGTGAGCATCTATAAGGGCCAACAACATTTAATTCTGAAATGGCCCAATGAAATCCGCATCGGGTATTCCCAGGGATGAAAAATGCTAAAGACGGGTCATTCTAAGTCTCCTGACATGCCCTACAAGAGCTTGTCAAGTATTCTAATTCAGCATCTAATTCTGGCCAACAAACATGAGTCTTGCTAGGGATTTCATCTTTGATGCTCCAATGTGACCTGTATGCAGTTCCTCCAAGATTTTCTTTCTACAGGTAATAAAATCGATATGATTTTCAATGTTTTTCGTTTCTGTTGTCTTTAATAACTATTTCCTGATATCTACATGCGCTCATAATACGGCGCCAGCGGCTGCCGAAAAGCGGACCACAAATTTATACATATATTGCACATGTAGAGGCCTAAAGCTGTATTGGCTAGCGATAAATGTTGAAGGGGAAATTAACCAATCCTTTTTGGCTAAACATACTTTATTTAGACTAATAAAGATATTTCAATGTACACACAATAATATATATATATATATATATATATTTTTTTAAAACTTTAAATTAATAAAACTATCCCTATATATAGTCAAGACCGTCATTGGCCGGTTCTGTCACGGATGCGCGCGCATCATCATTATGATCATTATCATTATCTAATGATAATAATAATAATAATAATAATAATAATTATTATTATTATTATATTATTATTATTATATAGTCACAACCGTCTTTCCTCAATTCCTCATCGGCCGCTGTCACGGATGCGCGCGCACAGGGAGGTCACGTGCTCGCCGGCAGCCAACGGGCGCGCGCCGCCGGCATTACGTCATAGATTATGAACACAAGGTAAAAAGGCCAAATAAAAAAATAGTGTGTGATAAGGCACAATTTGGATTATCTACTTATATAATTGCCTTATTCTGTCTGTGTGAAGTTCACTGTGTGAAGTTCACGGATAGATTTTGGTCAGAATGGATAAAATAAAAAAAGTGTCAAGGGATGGGAATCGAACCCACGACCTTCCGCTTACCAGGCAGATGCCATGACCACTAGGCTACCCTGGACATATTTTTCCGTTCACATTTTTATTTTTATATTTTCAAGACACACACAGTTTGGTGCGGGACGTTTCACAAGAGAGACATCCACGGCGCCAATTTATAATTGTAACGAATAGTATTTTAATTAAAACATTTTTAAAATATATACGCACTCGGGTAAAACCCGGGCGTTGCCCGGGCCATTCGTCTAGTTAAAATATACAAGTATCAGAGTCATCAATCAACAATTCTGTCACCGTTTGCTTTTGTGAATGGAATAAATACCCAAATATGGCCATTTTTTATAAGCATCGGTGATTCAGTGGTAGAATGCTCGCCAGCCACGCGGGCGGCCCAGGTTCGATGGCCGGGAGGCCAATGCATTTTTTTTTTTTTACAATTTCTAAAACTCATTTATATTATTATTAAAATATACAAGTATCAGAGTCATCAATTCTGTCATCGTTTGCTTTTGTGAATGGAATGCTTTTACGTAATATACGTAACTAATATGACTGAAATTTTAGCAGTATGTATAGTAGAATCTGGAAAAACTTATATTGAATATTTCAGGTCTCTATCCCGAATATTCTTCAAGTTATTTGCAAATTTGAGTTGCAAATTTGCTCTTTCGTTCGCAAGCAGTGCCTCTAGCGGTGAAGATGGGAGGTAATATCAGCTGACCTAATGTACACGTAAAACGTGTTTTAACAGGAAATAGAAAAAAATATGGAAGAGATATTTGTCGCATTTTTAGCCAAGAAAAATTGAAATTGGCAGGTTCTGGGCAAAAATAGTTGGTTTTTTTTTTAGTCAGAAAATGATTATGACAATATTGCTGTATCATATTTGATAATCAGATACAAAATTATATCCGGAAAAATTCCAAAAAGCAGAGACCACGGGTGAAGCCAGTTCATTTTTAGTATGCAGGAACAAAATTCTAACCGAAAAACATTCATTCGAGCAGAAGACACAAAGCCAGATCATCTCTTTATAAAATATCGCTTCTTAGACACGAGTTCGGAGCGGGACGTTTCACATCCACGGCGCCAATTTATAATTGTAACGAATAGTATTTGAATAAAAACATTTAATCGGGTAAATCCCGGGCGTTGCCCGGGTCATTCGGCTAGTATATATATAAGGTTAAAAGGGAGGATTAGAAAATATATAAACACACTGAAAAGGTAACTAAAGAAATTATCAAGACCAACAATCACTCATCTATCCTCACCTACCTCTCTATCCAGAAACCCAATTCCCTGCCCTCAGCTACCAGAAAAAATCTAATGTAAATATTCCCTTCCTTGTCCCAGTGTTGCTGGACTCACTCCCCAAGCTATCATTATCTTTCTTTCTCTGTGAAAAATTATTAAAGAAAAATTCACAAAATAAATAAATAAGGATTATAAAGTACTGAATAAAAAACAATATAAAAATACAATGAACATGACGACAACTTGAGGCCAGCTTGGGGAAGGTTTTGGAGCTCGTGGTGGAGCTAGTGTTTTGCCAAAGGATGGTGAGGTAAGCCATCATGAATCTGTGACTTGCCCATAGTGATAGAGGCATGAGTCCATCTCTGGCTTGGTGCTGGTGGGGTCAAGACAGTCACCACAGGTCAGGTGGCTTGACTACAGGGAAGGGGAGTCCGAGTCCATCTCAGACTCTGTCTAGTTGTGGGCAAGGCTGAAGGTGGCCTCAGACTCCATCTCTACACCTCAAAATCATTAGAGGTTTGTAGCTTAGATGAGAAAAAGTGGGACATGGTTAGGTGGGGTTCGGGGTGATTGTGGCATACTATGGTCACGATGTGTCCTAACATAAGCAGTGGGTATAATGACTCTCTTATCCCAAAGGAGGCAGTCTTCTTCAATTTCCAATTCTGTTTATCTTCGAACAAATGGTTCCAGCTCGTCCTCATACATCTTACTTGGTCATCCATATTGGGTCATTTGCAACACTTTTGATAAGAAAAGATATCTTCTTGTATGGATTCTGACATCCTTCGATGTTATTGGAATATTTTGCAAAATGTTCAACTGTAGTCATGAAGATTCTTGTCCCAATCTTGCATCTCCTGAATCTTCAATCGGCATCCTAGATAACATATCAGCTAAGATATTATCCTTTGTGTTGATATATTTCAACTGGTAATCATATCCCATAAGGATGAGAGTCCAGCGTTTCATTCTTGCTGCAATAGTAGTAAGTATAGCTTTTGATGGATCAAAGAGGGTGATCGATGGCTTATGATCAGTCCACAAGATGAAAAATATTCCTCTTAAATAAAGATCAAACTTCTTGACTGCATACATAATTGCAAGAGCTTCTCGGTCAATTTGTAAGTAACCTTGCTCTGCCTTACTAAGCGTTCTAGAAAAAATGATATCGGTTTCTTTTGCTGACCTTACTTTGTTTGTAGCAATACGGCACCTAGACCATACTGGAAGCATTGGTCAAAACTTCTAAGCTGCCCAATGGATCATAGTGTGCGAGTATAGGTCCATTTAAATCTTGAATGCCGTTGAGCAGTTCTTGGTCCACTTCCACCTTTGATTTTTCTCTAGTAGGCTATAAAGCGATTGTACAGTGTGAGTACAGATTTGTAGTGTTTGCGACATATTTGACAAAAATCTGCTATATATATATAAGCATGCCTATGAATGACCTTAATTGCTTAACATCCTTTGGCTCTGGAACATTGGATATGGCTTCCAACTTTGCTTGTTGCGGTTGAATTCGACTCCTCGAGATGATGTCACCCAAATATTCCACAGATTCCTTCTGCTTCAATCCGTTCATTGAGGGCCATAGGAACTGGTCTGGGTCTACAAAACCTAAGAACCGTCCCCTCCTTTAGGTATAATTTATCCTTAAAATCTTTCAAACACTCCAATTAATTGTTAAATAGGGATTTTCTTCTTTCCAGTATCTCCCGCAACGATTTTTCTGCATTTATTTTGTCTCGTGACAGTTTGAGTCCCACACCTTCCAAATGTTGCAATACCTGATCTATTCTTCTTACATGCTCCTCTTCATTCCTTGCTGTGATGATGTCATCCTGGAACGGCTGAATAAATTCCCAAAGTCTAAATATTTTATCCATCTGTCTTTGGAATATTGCCGGGGCAGATGCGATGCTAAATGGCAAACGTGTAACCTTGAAGAAACCAATGTGTGTGTTGATTGTTCATATTTATTGCGCAGCTTCATCTAATTCAACTTGATGGAATGCAGCTTGAAGACCAATTTGCTGAACCTTTGGCCATTAGAAAACTTTGCCATCAGTTTCTCCAGTCTTAATAAGGCGTAGTGCTCAATCTTGATTGACAAGTTAAATGTTACCCTATAGTCGACACAGATATGAATCTCACTATTGTTTTTCATGTCTGGTACAATTGGTGTTGCCCATTCGCTTGTATAGACTGGAATGAGGATTTTCCTTTCTACCATTTTCTGCAATTCTGCTTCAATCCGTTCTTTGAGGACCATAGGAACTGGTCTGGGTCTACAAAACTTAGGAACCGTCCCCCCTCCTTCAAGTATAATTTAGCCTTAAAATCTTTCAAACATTCCAATTAGTTGTTAAATAGGCATTTTATTCTTTCCAGTACCTCCCGCAACGATTTTTCTACATTTATTTTGTGTCGTCTTCTTCCACGGCTTTCTTACGTCTTCTTTCACGGCCATCTCAATATCTCCAAATAAAATGAAAAATTGAAAACACACACACAAAAAAGGCAGTGGATCTGCAACAGTAACATTGTTATTGCATATATCTTGATGTAATTAGGAGAGGGGGACGTTGGCGAATATTTCAGGATCACCAACTACGAGGAAGACAAAAAATAAACACTAAAACTTTGGAAGGTTTTTTTATTTACTTTATCAGCTTTTTATTTGCTTGCTCCAGGAACCTGGGTTATAAATATCTCTCTTATTTGCCTTAATTATGGAGACCCGCTCGGGAAACGTGTATAACATAATAAAAAAGGAAAGCAAGGTCGATTACCCGGAAAGGCTGCAACTTGGTGCAACAAATGATGGAGATGCTAGTTCCGACCCAGTTGCTTTGAACCCCAATATTGAAATTCTGAAGTATGACGGGACCGAAGACCCTCGCCTATGGGTAGAATCCCTCGAAGAGATTGGTTTCCTCTACCCTTGGGCAGACTACCAGACTACGCCATGAACATGACGGTAAGCGCTAAGTCCTGGTTGAATTTGCACAAAGACAGTTTCACGAGTTGGGAAAACATTAAAATCCGCCTCATTCAGGATTTTTCTTTGGACGCAAAAAAAAAAGAAGAATTAAGAATGAAGCTAAACAGAATTCAACACTGGAATGAACCAGGTATCAGGGTCGCGGAAGACATACTAGTGTCTTGCAACAAGGTTAACCCCTCAATGAAGAAGAAACGAAAATCTAATATGTTATTTGGGGACTGAAAAAGAATATTCGTTTGCACTCTGCCTTAACCTTTCGAAAACTACCAACGAACTTCTTGTCGTGTGCAGGGAAATGGATTCTTTTGAGAAGAAGTATCGGGAACGTGTTGAAAAATCTAGAAGTCTATATAACGGTCCACGCTATTCTAGATCCCAACAACAACCGAGGAACGAAGACTGTCATACGAAACTACCAGACCACTTCCAAACCTCAGGCCCCTTTTTTCCAATTCAGGCCATGATATAAGTAAACTCACAAAAACTTGTGCCGGACCCGATGAAAAAAATTAGATGTAGTAGGAAGCATAACTTTAAATATAAAAATTGATGACAAATAACACAGGTCTACAAAACTCAAAGTAGTTGTACCTTATAGCATATATATATCGGGATTCAGAAAAAAAACTCTGAGAGATATTTGATGCCCAGTGATAAATATCCCTGTGCATCAAATATCTCTCAGAGTTTTTTTTTCTGAATCCCGATATATATATGCTATAAGGTACAACTACTTTGAGTTTTGTAGACCTGTGTAATTATAGCAAAAAAATTTTTTGTGATAATTCAAACGCATTTATGGACATTAATTCTTGGAAGAGATTTCCTTTAATAAATAAGCGCGAAAATTGATTGTAAGCAAGAAACAATGAAATACGATTTGACACATAATCATGACAAAATAAATTTTGAACTGAAGAAAATAAAAAGTGCCAAGGAATTGTATCGGAATTTTCCATTGAATTGATGAAGGCATTGGCAGAAACAGAGGATGGAGAATATATAATCGAAAGAACAACAAAATGTTTCAAATAAACTGACTTCGTCTAGCAAGAAGCTTGATCAATCATATAAATAAGGAAGCACATGTTAGGACACCTCGTGACCACTGTATGCCACAATTAGCCCAGAACCTCACCTAAACTAACCA